AACAGTCGAACACTATCAGAAAAGGCCAAGGCACAGACCGAATACACAGAAAAAACAAGAGGGTGAAGAAGAACTGTAGATTCGACAAGTAGAAACACGTGTAAGACTTAGCAATGGTGGCGGAAAAAGATGCAAGTGAAGGAAATGTGAGACAAATACATGGTACAACGAATAAACTGGTGGGGAAATATAGTAAACTAAAGCGATTAGTCACGAACATAGAAGGCGAACCAATGACTGGGATTCATGAACAGAGGGACAAGTGTGAAGAACGCTTTGAATAAATCTTGAACAGACCGACTCCGCTGAACTCACCAGACGTCGAAGTACCACACACTGATTTCTTGTGAATGCCATTCGTGCAGCGATGAAAAAAATCGGCACGGGTATCAGACATAGCAGGTGTGGGAAAGCATCAGAACTAGATAACACACCAGTTGAAGCAATGAAGTCAGACATATGGTAAATGAGAAACTGCTCTTTGTTATCACCATAAGTATTTGAGAATAGAAATAATCCATTTTATGTAGCTAGACGATTTAAAAGTGAGACTATGATTTGTGGACAACCTTTAAACAATGCTAAGATAACCACCTTTAGTCTTCAGTAGTAGGGATAAGGCGTCTATCGACCTATATTAATCCTTGCAGTTTGTAAAACTGTGGAGGTCAAATCCCGTTTTGAAAATATTAACAGACGGTGCTGATATTACGTGTTCCGGTAGAGAATTCCAGTAATTCACTACTCGGTGCGAGAAACGGAACTCCAGACGTAAACGGTTTGACCTCGGTTTTTGAACTTTCTTCGAATATCCTCTCAAATGATCGGTTCTAGACGGAAGCAAAAGATAAGACATGTTAATACCAAGGTCATCGTTCAGTATACGATAGGCCAATATTAGATCACCCCGTACTCTACGGTAAGATAACGGAAATAAGTTAAGGTGTCTCAGTCTGTCTTCATACGATAGGCCAGATAGACCTTGTGCCATCTTAGTACCTCGTCGTTGGACTCTTTCTAGCATATCTGCTTCATACTTGAAACAAGGACGCGCTGCTTGAATCCCATATTCTAAATGTGGTCGCACATAAATCGGGTATAGAAATCTAAACATTTCATCATCTAAATACTGAAAAGACCTACGAATCGACCATAATACCCTATAGCCTTTTGCAGCAGCAGCCTTACAGTGACTAGTCGTTTTGAGATCATTGCTTAATATAACTCTTAAGTCTTTGTAGTTTCTTGCTTTGGGTAGCACGAGTCCACGTAGTGTATAATCATACGATTCATCAGAGTTATTTAACTGCATCACTACACTCTTATTAGGATTTACTTCTAGTGACCACCTGTCTAACCATGCCACCAATGAGCTAAGATCATCCTGTAATACTATTCTATCCGACATGCTATGTATGGGTCTCCAAATCTTTATGTCATCAGCGAAGAGTAGGACGGATGATTTTGCTACAGTTGGCAATTCATTTACATAAAGTAAAAAGAGAAGAGGACCTAGGATTGCGCCTTGGGGAACCCCACTTTTTACAGGTACCCACGAGGAGAGAGCCCCATTAACCCTTACCCTTTGTCTCCTGTCATGGAGAAAGTTACTTATCCAATCGACGACTGTGTAATGGATTCCAAAACGTTTCAGTTTGAATTTAAGACCAGAGTGGGAAACCTTATCAAAGGCTTTACTTAGATCTATGAAAATTGCATCCACAGGAGCATTCCGATCCTTTTCCGCAGCCCACTCTTCTCGTGCAATGAGAAGATTTGTCAAGCAAGATAGGCCTTTCCGAAAACCATGTTGTGCCCTGGAGAAAAGATTATGCCCTTCAACATAGTTTATAACAGATATCCGAATGATTTTCTCCATCAGTTTTACAACTGCACTAGTTAAGCTAACGGGTCTATAGTTACTAACTAAATCCCTACTCCCAGCCTTATACACCGGACTTATTATGGCATCTTTCCAGTCTCTAGGAAGTCTGGACTGTCTCAGAGACATGTCGAATAGTATCTCTAATGGTCCAGCAATTTCATCTGATATGGCCTGCATAATCCTAGGATGAATATCATCAGGACCACTGGACTTATCAGGTTTGAGATGCTGAAGTAGCCTTAAAACAGTACCTTTCTCAATGACTACAGGATCCATCAGCGAGCCGTCACGGTGGCGATGAATCGTTGGTCGTTCCTCATTACCGATAGAAAACACTTTACTAAAATATTCCGATAAAGCTTCAGCCTTTTCGGCATCATTTTCTGCCAAGATTAACGGATTTTCTTGTATCAAAAGTGATGGAATTTCATCGCTTCTTTGAATTCGCCTTTTTATATACGAGAATAACCGTTTCAGATTATATCTAGAATTCCTAACCAATTGTTTTTCGTATGATAGTCTAGTCTTGCCTAGTAACGCTTTACAGGTATTTCTAATCTTACAATAACTGGATCTGTATTGTTCTAAGCCAGTAGAGATGAACATATTCCAGTGATTCTTCCTTTTTCTAAAGAGTTTCCTGACAGTTTTAGTTATCCATGGTGGACGGTTATTCGGTCTTCGCGGTACCAGGTATGATATGAACGGGGACGTAACTAGACTAAACTTACCTTTAAATACAGACCATGCTTCTTCAACTGGTATGCTAGTATCTACTAACCAATCTGTCTTAGCAGCGCATTCCCGAATGGCTGATATTTTAGCTTTCCATATATTTGGGCGAGGTGTAACCTGGTCGCATAACATGCCCCTAGTTCTAAACGTGAATGACAAAACAGCGTGATCGCTATTCACTAACGGTGGAAGAATATTTAGGTCGACAGTATCCTCAGTCTCATGAGTGAATACCAAGTCCAACAGAGAAGAACCTTTGTTAACACCAAAACGTGTGGGTTTGGATACATGCTGCGCTAATGCATGCTCCATTATTGTTATCAGGAACCTACTATCAAAGGAGTTTATAGATCCTTCTGTGGTCATCTCATTCCTACTAATATCAGGTGCATTAAAGTCCCCTATTATCAAGCATCTGGTATTTTCACTCCAAAGATGAATGTGCTCTAAAATAAAGTCATCAGCTAAGCGGATTGGGCTGCGATAGATGACACCTAGCATAAACGTACTACATCCGATAGCCAACTAACAGCTAATGACTTCACAAGTACCGCTATCATGGGATTTGCTAGTAGAAGAGCGGATGTTTATGCTATTGTCTATATATAACAGGACGCCACCTCCTTTTCCACATCTATGTCTATCACTCCTGAGGTAATGGTATCCGGATAATTCTGGAGTAATGTCCAAGTCATGGACTAACCAAGTTTCTGTCACTGCTACTATAAGTGGCTTTAACCTGTCCACTAATGCTTCTAGTTCATAGAACTTATTTCGTAGACTACGAGCGTTGGCATATAAAACTCCTAAATAAAAAAGCCTATCCACACAAGCCTTGGTAGCATTCTCTTCCAAGACCTGACTGTCCGAAAACCCACTAGTCGGAGATTTTCCTCGCCGTTTTGCCGACGGGTTTCAAGTTCAGCTAGTGCTTTCTTGCTTTTTATTCTATCTTAGAGACATGTCAGGTCTAACTCGGATGTCAGAATTGTCGTGACAACGAGCGCTACTTAACAAGAGATCCCGTTGCTTCTCCGGTCCTAGGATTACCTTGAGGAGTCTGCATGGACAGGGTTCAACATTGTCCTCGGTCCTCTTGCCTATTCTAACCAATTTTTTGACCTGAACTCCCTTGCAGTAATCTGGTAAAATACTACAAATGTATTCTCCTAGCTTTTCTAAGTCATGCGCGTGTCTAATTTTCAGATCAGGGTCGTTCGACTCCCGCAATTTGCTCACAATAATATTCGATGTTACTAGAATTTTCTTCTCAGTCACGCCAGGATAGGTTTCACTCTTACCATCAGATCTTGGTAGTGCAATTTGTGGCTCACAATTTGGGTCCACCAGTGAGTTACTAACTACCTGTGTACTGCTTACAGCTTTTTTCTTTTCGTTTCGTTTCCTACGTACCGTTGTCCATTTTTCATCCCTCATAACACTGGGAATATTTGGAACGGTGACTGTTTTATCAAGATCTTCGGTTCCCACTAAAGGTGCATTATTAACAATGTCGGTACCAGGTGGTACTACTCCCCTGTTAATGTCAACGAAGATTTCACTTTTACGTCGGTCAGAGTCGGTTGTTTGAGGCGTCGCGTAACAGCAGGTACTACACTGACACATTCATCACTGTCAGTGCCTGTGATGTCAGCGCATATGCCATCCTTCTTTTTACAGGCCAAAGCCAATAGGCTCATAGCCTCCTGTATTAGTAATGCCTTGTTGGCACAGCAAAATATGCAAAGCCAATGTGAGTTAGGCTTCGAACATCTTTTGTATGCGGTGGGACTTAAGCGGGTGCACATTTTGTGGAACCACTTATTGCATTCGTCACACTGCATTCCCTCCTCCACAGGGAACAAACAGTTTGGTTGTCCACATTTGTGAGTACTACCAGCCATTTCAGTCAGATCAAGGTGTAACACACAATATGATAACAGTATGAACACAAATGTCAGTCAACGAATAAAAGGTTATCACAAGACAAACTTTAGCAAGATTTTAAACCTTAACTAAAGTACTTTAAAGTACTTTAGTTCTTGGTCTGTATTAATTAATACAGACCAAGAACGATTTCGAATGTAATAAATACATAAAACCCAAAAAAGCTCAATAGAATATCACTTTAACTGTAGTAGATTCAATTAAAGTGTAAATCGTAGTTTTGATACGTAATTTACGATCAAAACAGTTAACTAATTCAACGAGAAACAATACCACTGTCCTTTTTATATAGCGCGCCAAAACAGTTACCAAAACGTGTGCGTTCGGATACATGCTTTACTAATGCATGCTCCTTATATATATATACTGTAGTTGAACTTAAATCAAAGTTATGGCCGTCTTGATTTGACCGCTTCTGCAAAACCTTACGCATTTTCGCGATGACGCACCAATCGTTTTATGACGGTTTGACCTTCAAGTGCTCAGTGACCTCCCTCAACGGACGGTGCCAATGGATCGTTGACCGTTTGCTTACCTTCGGTCGGTTAGATCGTATTCCGAAAGATGACGGTTACATACTCGTCGGTTGTGGCAACTGCGAAATATTGGACTTTTATAAGATTATTGTTTATGTAATGCTTACGGTTTTTGTTCTCAACAGCCACAAACAGGTGGAAAGGAAGCGTTTATCGTCTGGTTTGGTTCGAGTTTTTGGTCTTCGTCGGTATATACTCCGTTTTATCTGTTACATACAGGTTTATCCTCAGTGCGACACTGAAGAGGTTAGTTAAATTGTCCAAACGTTAACGCTGAATAGCTACATACATAAACGAGGTTTTTAGTTAACGTCTTATTAGTGAAAAATTGAAATTAGTTAGTAGATTTTAGAACTCACTCGTTTGTTGCAACCGTGTTCGTTGTGATAATCTCGGATTTCCTGTCCGTTTCCTACCTTATACATATATACGTTTTGCCAATATGAACCCTTTCAAGGCGGTCTCCAGTTGACTTGGTGATACACGTAAGTCCTGTAATATCAGCAGTAAATTTGAGTCTTAAAAATGGTCCACATAAAACTCTAAGGAGACATCAGTTATCAATTGGGTCAATATTGTCATAATAATTTGTAGAAAGGACTTCGGAATCCAAGATCGAACCAGATGCCTTTAAGGATTTCTCGGAGTAATCACCTCTTTAAACCTAATGTCAAGTAAATTTTCTGCACCATCTTTCTGTTAGTCTAACATAAAACAAACACTTGCAAGATACTGGTTGTCTTTCAAACTAAGAATCCAAATCTTGGTGTCGATCTTATCATTCGATGGAATACGTTAAGTTTGGTCTTTACACACTTTCCTATCAGTATTTTGAAGCCTTTTAAAATATATTTTTTCCAACACTATCGTTTCAGGTTTGAATTGTCTTCATCAGAAATCGTTATCATAAGTGTTACTTAGTTTGGTGGTCATACATTTTCTTAGTTAATAGATTTCTGCCAGAGTCCACGGATCAGGAGGTGCATTGGTTTACATCTCTCAATCATTGGCTATTTATAATTCAGTTCCAAGACACTGAGTTTGGCTTCTAACTGAGATACCAAATGTAATATGTTAGAATCTCTATAGATTTATACCTCCACGTTACTGATTCACTATATTAGTGACTACTAACAGGCTTTGAATGAGAATCCAGTATCTCTTCAGTAAATCAAAGTTCGAACCCCTTACTGCCATCTAAGGCTTTTGGAGAAGTATGATCTGAATGTACTTATAAAAAAGACACTGATTGTCATGCCAAAATCAGACTTGGAAAAATCTAAATCTCTTGTCGAAGTAATTTCCTAATCGATACCTTATAAAAAATTTACTAGCAAGTGTAAACATATGTTCCATGTATTGGTTTTATGAAGGTACTGCACTCAGCGTTCGGTGGTTTTGTAGAGATACGTATAACTTGTCTTTTATGGAGTCGATGGGAATCCGCTGTAAAGAAAAAGCATATAATCACAAGTCGTAATGAATTGTACAGTACTTATTCAATCCAACTTTTAAACATCTTACTCTTGCAAATTAATGATAAGAATATGATTCAGCTCAGTAATCACACGTGTATGTTTCACGTTTACAAGCTAGTTATTAAAAGTAGGTGGAACTAAAGACCCGCAGTTCGCGATAAGTTAATAATACATGACGAAGTTGTAAATAAGTCAATATTTCACATATACCTAACTTTACCATTTTTAATTATTGATTTCTTCAACTCCTTGTCTCTGCCTGTTATTTTTTCGAACTCGGAGTCGTAGCTCAGTGATTAAACATTCGACTTTCAGCCAATAAGTTCCTGGTTCGAACCCCGCGCCATCAACTTCAGCTTAGGTAACCGCACCTTATTATTAGTTCTCATACATGGAGTGTAACTCAGAGCTAAGTACACAAATGAGTCTAACGATTTTTTTAACGTTAAAGATTTTTGAACTGCTCAATTTTCCTGTATATCAAATATGTTGTTCTATTCGAACATTATACTGACGAAGATTATTAGTGCTCTTTAGTATATCACAACAGTCGAGTAATTACCCAAATAGAAATCTTAATGTTTTAGCTGCTTCAGATGTTTTAGATATTGTTGTTAGTATTTGTAGAATTATCCCATAAGCTTACTGATCTGAGTGGTTATACAAGTTGCTTCAGCATTGATGACATGTGGGTAAATCGTTCCAAATTGTATATTTCAAAATTGAACTGACCAACTGTTTTGCGCTTAAACAGTTAAAAATAGTTATACAACTGTAATGACTTTTTAACTAGCGTGTTTACAATTATATTCAAAGTTATCATACTCACTGTCTATTTTACTGCAAATCGTTTGTTTATTTTCTATGGTATGCTATACATAACTTAAGAACCATGATCAATAATTGGTTTAAACAGGTATTTTGAGCTATTGTGCATCTATTGTGGCCAGTACAACGAAACGGTCCCTGTAGCATTCGTTTTGGGCTTTTACGTTTCACTTATTGTTCAACGTTGGTGGGAACAGTTCCTAGCATTACCATGGCCTGATCGTTTGGCTTTGTTTATAACAGCTTTTTGTCATGGGAACGCTGAACGCCCAACAAGAATCAGGCGAAATATAGTTCGATATATCAATCTATCTTATTGTATTGCTTTACGTGCAATCTCATCTCGAGCTCGCTTGCGTTTTCCAACAGAAGAACATCTTGTTACTGCAGGTGATCCAATGTTTTCATTAAATATTGTGTCATTTTGAAAATAGGACTGAATGTTATTTTAATCAATTTTCACGCTTTATATGACAAACATACGTTTTAATATTAATGTTTGTGGTTTTGCGTATTATCGATAAATTCATTTTGTGTAAGTTAAGGGTTTGGATTCCATTGTACTGTTATTGCATAACGAAACTCATTGTTCTCTAGGTTTACGCTTGCAATATCATTGTTTTAGTAAATTAGCCAATTTATTGCGATTTCTGGGTTGTATCTGTCTAACAAAATATTAAGTAATATGTTTGTGAATACCTGAACACTGAGGTGGAGGGTTCCAGTTAACTGTTTGATTATTGATATATGTGTCAATTTCTTTTTTATTGACTTTAATAATAACAGCTTCTTAATGTGAATGTTAATTGTGATGTCTTTTAGTAATTTTAGAAAGTAGTATGATAGTCCAACTATTTCATAGGAATATTTATATTGAACTCTGGATTACATTTATTCATTTATTTATTTGAACACATGAATATTGGTACAAGAGAGCGCCAATATATATGCGCCACACAAAACAATGAGAATTCGAAGAGAAATAAAAGAAAAAGCTAAGGAGCGCAAAAAAAAGAGAACAATAACGAAGAGATTGGTGTAAGGTAGTGTGGTAGTAATGAGGGAACAGAAAGGTACAATCAGAAGAAATCTTTCAGGTAAGGGAGACACAACCACTTTTTATGAAGAAAGTAAAAGAAGGTTACAGCAGGATCGCCACTGGCTTCTATTCTGAGCCATATCTGATAACGTCTCTAGCCACTGTGTTGCACCATCTCTCGGACCCCAACCAGGGAGCCGTGAAGGACCAAGACGAGCCAGCCCTTTGCAGCTTTCTTTCATACCACGACACCATGTCATACATTGACCACCTCTCCGCTTTTTCCAACCAGTCCCAGAGTCGGCAAATAATGCACGACGTGGAATTCTCTAGGACGACATTCGGAGAACATGTCCAAGCCACCGAAGTCGGTGTTTCAAGATGGTGATACCAATTGAATTATCATCTCTGTGCCCGAACACACGATGCCGAACCTCTGCATTACTGACATGGTGTTGCCACTGAATGTCAGCAATCCTTCGGAGACAGCGATGATCGAACACAAATGATGAACTCTGGATTACATACTTGATTCCATTTCATTAATTTAATCGTTTAAATATATACAAGTTTTCTTTCCCAGAAACTGAGTGATTGTTGATTTTCAAACAATATGTATCATTGACATCGTTACATAGTACCTACTGTGAATTTACTGGATTGTAATTAATTATAATCATGCTTTTTGGAAGATGAAAGACATTAAAAATCATTGAAGTATTAAATCTTATTTTTACTACACGAAAATATATTCTGAGCCCTCATATATAAAGCATCACTTCATAACTGTCATTTCCATGGCGAAAAAATGTTCTGGTACTTAAATCTTATTTTTTAAAATTACTCGTAATTCCCAAGTTCTCACACGTGTTTCAATCATACACTTTAAACTCTATGTCATATAATCTCTGAAAGAGTTAATGAAATGTACTCTGTACATTAGAAAAATGTACATTCCATTCGCATATAAGTATTGGACTGATTTTATTCTGGTAATCTACCATTTGAAAGTAAGCACATAAATAAATCCATTTCTTTACTGTGGATGGACTCGTTAGTTGGAGACAACCTACAAAAAGCCTTGGATGTAGGTTTTTTTAACACTCGTCAGTATAGAATATTTACTGTCTCAAGGAAACCGATGCTTCATGTGGGTTTCGAATTTCTGTCACTTAGTGTCAAAGTTAGTGTTTTGTCACCTAACTATTCGGGATACGGCTGAACTGTGGAACAGTTGAGTACACACTGATTGATCATTTATAATGACCAATACTATGTCTAGTTCTTGTTGCTGATGGAATCCTACCGATAAAGTTGGAGTATATAATTGTGTTTTATCAGAAAGTGGGTTTAGGTTATACTCAGAATAATCACAATGTAAATTGATTCAAATCTGTGTTAATTCACCACCAACAATTCAATAATTAATTATTAATAAACCGAGCTATTTGCAAGAGGTCCGTTAATACTGACGTAGATTACTTTATGGTATTTAATAGCAATCAAGAAGGGCATTTACAGTGTATATTTTCTCTTAAGAAGAGCTAGTCAAAGGAAATAGTCAATTTATCTCATAGTTTTCCTTAATACTGAAGTAGTCACTTTAAAAAACCAATATACAGACTAACAAGTGCTAGCCAAATAGGATTAACTCGCTTATACATACACTTAACTGAGTCCATATCTAAAGTGTATAGCATCCATTCTGCATTTCACTGCTGACTAGTGCCGTCAAAATTTAATTTTTTTCATGAGGATAATTGCATGTTTCAAAGTGTTCGTACTACTTTTTCTCTTTTCAGGATTGATGACACAAGAAGAATTGGATATTTATCGTAGTACTCAACCCAGTGAATATACTTTATACTTTGTTCCGTTAGTATGGGCCCTAGATATGGTTACAAAAGCTCGTGAAGAAGGCTACATACGCTTTGATAGAGCTGTAGAAATTTTGACGAATGAAATCACATCATTTCGTAGTAAATTAGGTACAATATTTGCTTATGATTGGGTTAATCCTCCACTCGTGTATACCCAAGTGAGTTGATAAGTATTAGTAAACTAACATGCAATAACAAGACGGACTGTTTACTACTTTTTCAAGATTTGGTATTTTTTTATGGTTTACTGAAAGATAATTATATTTCCCTTATGTCTGGTGGTCAAACAATTGGGAATGTTTAAAGTGCGACTGACAAATACACAATTTCCAAACAAGTCACATATTAGGATACGAGTGGGACTTAATACCACCTTTCGTCAGACGATTCTAGTCATGTCTGCGTTAAATAGAGAACATTTCCTTTAGAGCAGTGTTTCACCGGTTAAGACCACTAACTTAATGGGTTGACATCTTCACAACTGCTCCGATTTGAATAATGTTCCACCAGTTTGAAAGAGAGATAAAATCAAGTTCTGGAGTATTGACGACTTAGTCACTGGATTTCGAACCAATGGATCTCTGGTTTAAGATCTGCCTCACTTACACTAGTTTTAGGCTACGTGGTTGTATCACTAGCCCTAACAATTCGAGTGTGGTTTGAAGGCAAGTTCATGAATAAGATTCTGGTAAATAAGTTAATATCTTGTTGTTCATGAGGCATATGAAAATCCTATTGGATTAAATCCAAGCTTTTTTGTTTGAATCCTTCAATTTGATTTTGCTCTTATTACTTCAAGTCTTTCTAGTAAACATAAGTAGCCATATTCACCACCGACACGTTTATTTAAACTCTCTCTCTCTCTCTCTCTCTCTCTCTCTCTCTATATATATATATATATATATATATATATATATATATATATATAGTTCCCGATATAACAATTTAAAATACTTTTCTCAGGTATAAAATATTAGTTAACCTAGTTTTAGCGATTAGTTTAATTAATATTTTAGCTAAAATCTGGGAGTTGAACGTAATCCCATATGACTGGTCGCAATCACTGATTGTCCCAATATATAAGAAAGGGTCAAAATCATCCTGTGACAACCACAGAGGGATTAGTTTAACTAATATAATATCTAAAATACTAGCCTCGATAATTATCAGACGCCTAACTAAGACTCGTGAACTGCAAACACGAGAGAATCAGGCTGGCTTCAGACCTGGTCGTGGCTGCATCGACCACATATTCACTATTAGTCACGTTCTAGAACACAGGCATACTTATCGGCGTCCGATAATAGTGGTCTTTCTCGAATTAAACGCAGCACTTGACTCTGTAGACCGTGAGATTCTGTGGCGGTGTCTGTCATTGAAAGGCGTACCTCAGAAGTACTTAAACCTTGTAAAGGCTCTTTACTCGAACACTACTAGTCGAGTCAGAGCTTATGGCGAACTGTCATCTTTTGCAACCTCAAGTAGTGTCCGTCAAGGATGTCCACTTTCTCCATTTTTGTTCAAATTCATCATAGACCTACTGATGGAAATAACGCTCTCGTCGCTGACTAACTGACTGACTGACTACCCAACGCAGCCACAAGCAGTCACACTCAGTAAGTCCAGAGTGAAAATCAGTGGAAGGTAAGGAAACCACATATTTAAGTCAGTAGGTTGTGGCTGTTTGTCCACACTCCGTGACTAATCATATTTTAATTTTACTGCCACACATCAGTTTTTTTTATACGATTATGCATCCAGATTATTTGTCATTAACCCAGATACAATCCCATATTCTTTAATAATCCATATATCTATATAAATATTTCTATCATGATATGTGATATATACCTTGTAAATTGTCAATTAATTGGCTCACCCACTAATTGCTTTCACACATGAAAATAAGATACGTCAGCCAAACAAATCAATCGGTTTTGATGTTTACTCTAAAAATAACGTTAGTATTTCAGGTGATGTGTAGTTGTGCATCCTCTAGTGGTTACCTTTGTGTATGTGTGCAATTTAGACACCATTTATTTATAGATAGTTGAAAGGTGGCGTAAATTATGGGGAAATTTGAATATAATAAACCAGTTAAATTTGTTATGCTTCAGTATTTCTACTTAGTACCGTTAGTTAGATCTGTTTTTTAGAAGTTACGAACTATGCGCAAGCATATGTCTAATGCACATTGATTTTCGACTGTACTCTAGCTGATATTACCTTGACCAAAAACTATCATGACCATAAATTTGTAATCTTTTGTGATTTTGAAAAGTTTTTAGATCCCAAGTACTTTTAAAACCATCATTCGGTTATTAAGAAAGGGCTGTCAGTTTCATCATATACCTTTTTTCGAAGGTATTTTTCAGTTTTTCAATGAATCGTTAAGGTGGCAAACTACAATCCGCCACAATATTTGGGTTCCACTTCTCAGTGCGTGGGGCAGGAATAGAGTGAGGGAGCTTGGAGTGTCCGGACCAAAACGTGGACTCATTCCGTAGACATTAACTGTTAATCTTGGTCATGTTGGTAAGTGCAGACTTCTTGGTTAGGGTCTGTGCAATGGTCGTCGTATGAATTCCGTATGATGTTAACGACCTTCTCATCCCGACCGCTGCTGCTACCTTCAAGTGGTGGTCGGGCTTGCCTATCGTGACTAACTAATCGGGACATACTGACTAGCACAACCGTTTTTCAAGGTCCTACCACGCCAGGCAAGTCGGTTGAAGAACGATAAGACTAAAAGCAGCAAACCCAAGGTCCGAAGGCGAAGTCGTACTGCTGACTGTGCAGAGGTGTGACAGTAGTAAGGTGTTTCTTTCAGACAACCAGCATAACAGCGATGCTGGGAGCGTCGAGCCGAATGAATGCACACCTCGCCTTATCCCAAAGATATCCGTCTCCGGCGGTAAGGTCTCAACAAGTACGGAGCTAACACGAAAACTACCCGCAAAAAGGTGTGTGATCGACCTCATGCAGTTGTCTCTTGGGCACTGCTGTAACGCTCTCAGATCCCTAAGACCACCAACCCAGTTTCCTTGTCAGGTACATCTAGAAAAACCCTTCCACTGTGTGAGCGACCGGGAAGTGATGACCGCCCTCATACCTATAATAGCACTCAAGATTCTCAGCTACTCCATTGTGTCGAAGAAGGTTCTATAAATTTGTACAATCCACTGTGTCAAACGCTTTCTCATAACCAAGAAAGTTGATGTATGGTGACTAGTTCCGTTCAGGTGATTGCTCAACAATGATCTGTAGTGTCCCAAGTTGGTCAATGCCCTACCGATCTTTACGGAATACAACCTGTTGATCTCAAAGTTAGACGTCTACTGAATCTTGCATCTGATTCGAAAACATTCTGTTGAAAACCTTTCCCAGTGCTGATAGTAGTGTGATGACTCTGTAGTTCTCACACTTTCTCGGATCTTATTTCTTCGGTGTCTTAGTGAGGTAACCTTTCCAATCTGTCGGCACTCGTTCTTCCTCACATGTCTTTCTCAATAGAATGTGGAGCATGTTTGTAGCTACTTCTATTTCTGACTTCAGTGCTTCAACTGGTGTGTTATCTATTCTTGGTGCTTCCCCACCCTTGAATTGTCTGATGGCCATCGTGATTTGTCCGGTCGTTGGTGGAGTGAGATCAATAAGAAGGTCTGTAGGTGATATTCAAATTGTTCTTCACACTTGTCCCTCTGTTCATGAATCCCAGTCATTGGTTTGCCTTCTGTGTTCGTGACTAATCGCTTTAGTTTACTATATTTCCCCACCAGTTTATTCGTTGTACCATGTATTTGTCGCACAATACAACTTTTTAAGTTTATAGTTGTTGTAAAGCAGGTTTATAGAGCGCTTGGTATGAGCTGTGACCTTGAAGAAACGCGTACGTCAAGTTTGTTTCAGGCTTCAGAAGCTCCATAGCTGTGCATTGAGAGCGTGATGCTGAAAAGAGAGTAACAAAGGAGCAGCAAAGCACTTGGATTTAAACGCTAGACAATGCTTAACACTTTTTAGTGGAACAGATATAGGTATGATAAATTAGTAGATTTAATTCATGCTAACTCTTGTTGTTGTAGTGAAATGTGGTTAGAGTTTCCAGATAAGAGAATGTGGTAATAAAAATCAATGAGTTGTGATATTCAACGAGGTGGAGCAGGTTCAGATGTTGGGAGGGAAGTCGAAGTTAGGATAAAGAATTCTGCTTATTAGAGTGGGAAGTGTACCAAGAGAGTAAAGTGTTATGAAGCACTAATGACTATATCTTTTATTCTCTGGTGTTTTTTAGTTTTTCTCACATAATCGAGCACGAATTTGCCGCCAAAGAAAGTATGTAAACTTAGATATAAATAAAAAGCGTGCCCGCCTGCAGCTCGACACCGCTTCGGACATCACACTTATTAGTCGAAGAACTTGAAATCTTATCGGAAAACCACAGGTGCTTCCAACAACCCAGTTAGCTCACAGCGCTTCTGGAGGAAAACTAAATATTGTTGGAGAGGTTTGTTGTACAGTTTCGAGACGAAACGCGAAAATGAATGCAACTTTATATCTTACACAGAATCCAGGACTAGATTTGCTAGGTCTAGAAACACTACAATTATCAAATCACCCCATTAACCACATATGCAGCGCAGTGAGAACCAAAAAACCGGTGGAAAAGGATCTGAAGAGTGTTGTATTGGAAAGATATAGTCAAGTGTTTACGGAAGAGTTGGGGGAATGCAAAAAGGTAAAAGCACTATTGATTCTTAAACCAGGAGTCACCCCCGTCTTCAGACCAAAACGCCCGGTACCCTATGCAGCGCTACCTATTGTTGAACAAGAGTTAGAGCGTCTGCAAAGAAGTGGAATAATAGAGCCAGTAAACTTTCTTGATTGGGCAGCTCCAATAGTGATTGTCAAAAAGCCAAATGGAAGTATCCGGCTATGTGCAGATTATTCGACGGGATTAAATGAAGCGCTTGAAGCCCATCAATACCCATTGCCGGTACCAGAGGATTTATTTGCGAAACTGAATGGGGGTAAGTATTTTGCGAAATTAGACCTATCAGACGCTTATCTACAGATTCCGGTAGCGGATGAGTGTAAGCATTACTTGACAATAAACACTCACAAGGGATTGTTCCGGTATAATAGACTTCCTTTTGGAGTA